TTGTAAAATAAAATAATTGATGAGTGTAAAAAGTTAATTTGAACCTGGTCATAAAATGTAAGATAATCAAGATCGACCAAAAAGCTACTTTGCATGTGATTCACATCAAAATCCTTTAAACAATCTTTAACCAGTCCCAAATACCGATCTTTAACCAGTCCCAAAGACCAGTCTTTAACCAGTCCCAAAGACCGCATCTAAAGACCAGTCCTTCAGTCTTTCAAAAAAAGACTGGTCTTTTAGGACTGAGACGGACCGGACTGGACCAACACAACCCTAATTTTGAAGCAATTTTTGTTAGAGTAATGAGTAAATTTTTTATTGGAGAATTAGAATGTTTATATTAATAATAATAAGGTACCAGAAATTCTGATAATAATAATAATGATAATAATAGGATTCCAGTATAAATTGTATATACCGTTGGTTGGTATATACCATTAATATATAATAATGATTTTCTACATTGATAAGGGGAGACCACTGCCAAACATTGCTAGAGATAAATAATTGTCTAATTCTTTAATTGAACATTTATCAATGAATCCCTCCACAAACATTATAAAAATAAGAATTCCTAGATGTGGGAATACATCTAATTTGTGAGATAAAAATTTTTGACACTACTTTAAAAATTGAATAATTCCCGGCACATAGGCTCGCGATCTATTCCGAACACTGACCCTTGTCTAGTGGACTTAATACTACATAGCTATTACAATTATAAGAAAAAAACTTACTGGCTGGCTGCAATGGTAAGAAAAAAAATTTTTTTTTAAAAAGCTAATTCTAAACTACATTTATACCCAGATTACTATTATAAAGAGGTTCGATTTAATGTCAACCATTCTGTTACACATATGATACCCTTTTTTAAACATATTTCAGATAATCATGATAAATATTGTCATTACCCTTGAAAATTATCTGAAATAATGCAACTAGAAAAAGACTCATTAAACCTAGGTACTTCTATTAATAACATCTTGCAAATATCTGCCAATTTTGTCCAGTCATCTTCAAATTTCCAAGGTATTTCTAACTTGTAAATTCTTTCAACAATATACTTATCTTTACCAGCCAAGCATACTCTCCAGAGTCCACCTTGATTTCCTGGTTTATTGTTAAAAAGTCAGCACTGAAGATTTATCTTCAACAGAAAAAAAGGCAATACAATTTTGAAAACTTAAGGTTGCTTGCCAAAACTCTAATAAACAATTAATGTGTAACCTGGAAAAACTCTGTTGATTGACTCCTGGAAGAGTTTCGCCCACAACCTTAAACTGTGCACAATATATACTAATACGTGATATATTTCCTGGAAATTTCCACATCACCTTGCCTATTAGTCCAGAATCTCTTGCAATGAGTATCAACTGCATTGCGAAATGATTAGAAAATAATTTAGACATTTTAATTTCTAAAAATCAAAATTTTCAACACTTGTAATATTTTGCATGTTTATCATTTTTTGGTGGGCATACCTTTTCAAAAACCAATCTTTCTATCATACTATTTTTCACAAAAAGTACACCATCACATTTCCCAGTCAACCTTCTTAATAGATTTATATACATTCTGTCTTCTCCATTTTGATGATGGATGTATCATTTCATACCATGAATTTGTAAATATATCAGGTCCTTTGTTTTTCAACAACTTGAAACCTGGAGCAACCCATGTTGCTGTATATGTTGCCTCACTCATATTTTTGTTAAATTTCGACTTCCATTTATAAGCCCTAAGAATTTGGAATTGTATTTAGTGAACTAAATAAGACAAACATATAGAAACACTATATACAATATAACAGGAATAAAATAAAGAGAATTGAATAATGAATGCCACTGCGAGCATGCAATCTGAGTTTCCTATTGAATAGGTTATTCTGATGTTCAATACACAGTCAGGACTTACTTTGCCCACTGAATTACAGTTGATTCCACTATCTTACGACCCACTGTCTGGATAAAAGATCCCCAAGTTAGTATATCCATTTATATTCCAAAGGTGTCCCCTTGGCAATGTGTTTAATAATTAAAAGGGTTCTCAACTAATAATTAAAGGTTGGACAGACCATTGATCATTAGAAGGGCTGGGACTCAATCACACTGGGTTTAATAGTTAATTACAGTCAAAGACTTTATGTGAGGGTTATATATTTATTAGATGTTAGGAGTTATTATTGTGTTATTGTTGTCAAGATTGTTATCCACCCTCTTCCTATTAACTTGGTCTAAACTAGGTGTATTTATACCTCTTGGGGCAGTACAAATAATGTGATTTGTGCTATTCTACTCTCCAATAATATGCCTATTAACTAATTACTAATCTTAAATAAATATTTACATCAAATGAGTAATACATGAAATACATAAGTAGAAATATGAATATAAAGATCTTCAATATAACATTACACAATATGCGGTGCAACCGTTACAATAATATATATATATATATATATATATAGAAAGCTGGTCGTTGATCGCAATGTAATATTTAGCGCATCACATGACTTCCGTAGTAAGTTCGTTCTAATTGGTCAATATTAACCGGGAAATTGATAGGTCCAAGATTTACTATCTCACACCACTTACAGATGAATTTTTTAATTGCTACCCAGATCACTAGCTTGCATTGCAGGATAGAGGTAATACAATTAGCTAATTTCTTTGCATCTTTCATATCATCACTGCCAAAATCACATTGATGAGATCCAGATACTTCTACTTGAGGGTCTTCCAGGGATCCAATCCATTGAAAAAAAAAACTATTGTGATGCATTTGTCACAATGCCATATATTCAGACTTGAGATTTTGTATCTCTCATCTAAGGTTTCTGGTCGAAACTGCTTCTATTAGTAGCCGAAATTGCCCAAATACTTTGGGCAAAAATTATTTTTTTATAAGCCCAAACTACTTTTTGTTATTAGCCGAAATTGGGCGAAATTATTTTAAAGTTGTTTAAGTTAAAACAAGTTGATTCATATAGTTTTTTAATGTTCATGCTTATAGAAAATGTTGAGAAGCCCAAATTGCCCAAACTAGTTTGGGCTTTGGGAAAACAGTTTGGACCAGAAACCTTACTCTCATCTATCTTCTGTTTTCTGTTTATTTTCTAAAAATGGCTTGTAAGATGTCAATAAGCAAACAATAATAAGCAGAATAATAGTATGTACAATATTTTCATTTACCTTCACAGCACTATGCATTTGCACAATGTTTTGGGCAGCACCTTTTTCAAATCTTCTTCTTTAGCTTCACATACCAATAAAACAAATTCCTCAAGATGTACAGAATAGTTGACAGGATCAAAACTACAACTTCCATCAAGCCAATCTTCACTCTTGAGACAAAGCTTACTTTCTTGTGACTGGACATTTTATTCAACAGGGAATTTTGTAGGTCCTGGACTGCCTTTGACAAGAATCCAAAGTGTTAACTTTTCAGAACATAATGACATTGCTGATGACATTGCTGACATTTTGTTTACTCTATCTTCTAAATCTTTAAAAAAGCAAAAGACAATGTTTAATTTTAATTATCATAACTATTTTTAAATTAATTTACAATTACATGCCCCCAATTATTTGTAATCATTTGTAGTACAAATTTTCACTTTTGTCTGGCTTTGTCTCAGTATTCCCCATATAAGATAATCAATAGAGAGAGAAGCATAGTGGAAACTTGTTGTTATACAAGATTTTATACAGAGCCTGTTGCCTCCTGAAACTTCACCAGTATATGGTTGTTACCTCTCTAAATTGGTGATCAAGTTCAGATCAACTCAAATCCAGTTCATCACTTACTTTTCATTGCTAGAATGTTTGCCGTGTATTGTAAAGTTACGTTGCACAATATAAAAATTAGTGTAACATTTCAAATTTCCACTATGCTAATATTAATATTTTGTTTTTCAAATTTGCGTAACCAATAAAATTTAATTTTTGCGTGATATCTGGAAGGGAGATCGTCACAAAATTTAGCCAATGAAATTAAATGTCCACTATGCTCATGTCATTTTAGTTATTTTTTTACAGAAAAAAAAGAATCTCCACTACTGATATTTCTGATAAAGAAAACAAGGATAAGGATACAGAATCAAATATATTACCTCCATTTCATTCAATAAATAATGATGATACTGTAGAATCTGAAAGCATTGATATAACATTCAATAAAGATTATATTAGATATATTGAGAAGCAACTGGACAAGGAACCAATAACAGAGGTAAAAATATGTAAATAATAAGCATTGATTCCTAGTAAATTGTATTAATTTTATTTATGCATATTAGTGGTATGTTGGAAACATAAATGTAACGGAAAAATTTAATCATTATTGATTGTATTCCATCAAAGTAGCAAAAAATGGGATTACATGGAATAATATGTATGAGATATTGTAAGTATTTTGGGATTGAATTTCAAGAGAAAGATTACATTATCTTACAGATTTTATCCTTTACAAGGGCATTGTTGTCAATAATGGTTTTGATGTGTCCATGTCCTTACCCATATGAATATTTTACATCAAAAGAATGGTGTGAGATCATGAAGGAAAATCCACATAAGATAAACATTAATATTATACCACAAGGTTTATCTCAGTTGCTTAACAAATCTGTAAAAAAATTTGTATTTGGTGAAGACATTTCTATGGATACTTCTGGTCTAGGAAAAGACAAATTAGTCACAAGAGTCTTTAATGAGCTGTGAGTTGGTTGATGCTTGAAATATTTATCAGTAAAAAGAAATTGAAATATTGGATTAATTCTATTTTAACCCTTTAACAAATTTTAGTTACAATTTACCAACTGTTGCACCTAAAAAAATAACAGAAGATTTACATTTTACTAATTACTTGAGCCCTTTTATTAAACCAATATTCATGAAACGGTTCAAAGAGTATAGAGTTGATTTAAACCATTCAGTGTCTGGATCCAAGAAAAGACCAGACATATCTTGTGTTGTAGATGGGATCCCCATTTTAAATTCAGAAATCAAACCATTAGGTTGTACACCCATGCAATAAAAAAAAGATTTCGTTAAAGCAAGTATGAAGGCTAAAAAATCACTAAACAAACAATTAGATACAAAGGGTGGTCCCAATTCTTCGGCAATGTTAATTAATATGGGTATATGTATTTATGATTATTTGTTGTCTCTACATATTATTAATTAACTAATATTAATATTATAATGCAGGGTTGGCAAATGTGTGGTCCATTGGTGGTCTATTGATGGTCTATTGGGTCCATTAGTGTAACATTTTAACTATATTTAGTATTTTATTAATGGCAATGGACCAGCTCAAAGTCCATCAGTTCTCAATGGACCAGTCAATTTTCCAACCCTGTTATAATGTAGGTGATGTGATTCAATTGTTTTTGATAGACTTACAATTTGATGGTATTTATCAGTCATGGATATATTGTAATACAAAATTAGTTATAGATAGACCTACAATGCCTGCAATTGAAAGTTCTATAATCCATTTTATGTCATTAGAAGTATGAATTGTTTTTACTTTTTCAGTTTATGTTAAATTTTTATTTTGAAATAATAATGAATTCTTATATTCATAGGAACAAGTATCTAGGCTCATGGAAGATTATAAAAAAAGAAGTAGTCAATTTACACCTCCGAGGCAGATTCAGTATATGAGAGAACCATTAACTGTGACTCAATTCAATAAATTACTCAAATGAGATATGTAACTCATATAATATTTATTATAAAAATATAATAATAATAAAATAATTATAATAGTTTGTGATTTGCTGCAAAAGGGAGTTTGTGATCTTTTTTCCATTCTTTCTTTCCTTAAATAATTTTCAACTAACAGAGTATTATTTATTTTGAAACATAGGTTAAATCAAAATATTTCTGATTGTACCATAAATGAGTTTCATATTAACTATTTTTATCTAGAGACAGTTGTGATGTTAAAGATTATTGACCCCTGAAATCCTTAGTAATACCAATGCTCACTTTGTCTGGTTTTGTTGCAGTATGCCCCATATTTAATATTAAGTTGTACAATGAATAATAAGTACTAATACTAATCACATTATAATGAATTTACATGATATAAATTTAAAAAATAAAAAAAGTAAAAGCAAACAACAATATTGAAATTGTTTAATTAGTATTAAAGAACATTTGATCCAAATTTCCCAATAATAATAAAAAGATGAATACAAGCAACAACAATAAAATTGTTAATTAAAAAACATTTTATCCAAATTTCCAAAAGATGAATGCAAACAACAATAAATCATCAAATTCCAAAATAAAGATGAAATTTTTTCTTTATTAAATTCTTACAATCTTACACAATTAAAAAATTTCATGATTAAAACCTTTGAAAATGTCTCAACAACAACAACAACCATTAAAAAACATGTATATATCTGATTTAAAATTATTTGTTTTTAATGTAATATTATAAATTTATTATAAAAAATTTTCTAATAAAGGGTGCATACATGCATAATTTAATGTTTGTTGCCGCATAAATCTGGTAAAATTTTTCGTTTACACGTGATACAGAAGGATAATCTAAAACTTTTTTTGATTTTTTTTTCAATAAAATATTCAATAAATTGTAATTAAAATATTAACAACTCAAAGTTGGTGATGGGAGCAAAACAGTCTATGCCTGGTGAAAGCATGTTGTTTTATAATGAGCCACAAATTAGGGTAAAATTTTGATTATTTGCGTGAAAGGTTCTTTGAGTTGGAATTGAAAATTCTAAAAATTTGTATTATTAAAATAAAGTTATCTCACAATTTAATCAATAACCTACAAAAAGAAAAAGAAAAATTGGTAATTAAAATAATTTTTGAATTAATTATAATATTTCTTAAAAATCTAATTTAATTTATTCCTCCTTTATTTAGAAATATTCGCCGCCACCAGCACCAGCACCAGCACCACCAACAGCAACAGCAGCACCACCATTATCTTATAATTTACCAGAAGATGAATTAGAAAGAATTATATCTAGCAGAGTAGATGAGAAATTAAGAGAAATCGAAGATATTGAATCTGAAGTAAAGAGAAAAGTTAATGAACAATTACTAAAACAGGCTATTAATATCTCTAGCAATTTTGATAGAAATGTAAATTTAAATAGCAATCTAATTGAAAATGATTTAAACGATTTGATTAAAAGAGTTGAAAGGTGAGCGAAAAAAAAAAATAGGGAAAATAAACTAACAAGGAAAAATTTGTTGAGAAACCATCAGAAAAATTTTTTTCTGATTTTTCTATTTGATTTTCTAATAATTTAGAAAACATGATTTTAAAGAATCAAATGAAATAACAGCTAAGAAAAATGAACTAATTTCTTGTTACAAGTAATAATTAACTGTCATAATTATCATAATAATCATCATTTATCCTCAATTCTAATTCTAATTTAAAATCTTTTTTTTTTAGAGAAAATAATTCTCGTACACTCAATTGTTCAGAATTAACCAAACAATATGGTCAAATCGTGCGAAATTTCAGTAAGGTAAAAAAAGAAACTATAAATATTTTTGATTTTACTATTATTTTTAATTTCAATAAAAAATTTTTTTTATTTTTTAGAAATTAAATTAAATTAAATTAAATTCTTACCAATAATAACAACTATAGACAATTAGTAAAATAATTTAAATAGTCTTTCTTTCATGAGTAATCTTTATTCCACACAAATAGAAAAGATCCTTAATTACTATATAGAAAAAATATTTGTTAATAGTAATAGTGATTCTGTAAAAAACATCTGGAAAATTTTATTTTAATGATTTTCTATTAATTAATGCGAGTAAAATAAGAATTTATATTAAGCTAAATATTTTGGAAAGAATTGTGTGTTTTGCTGCAAAGTTGTGCCGCGTCCACGTTATATATTTTTTTAAAAATAATTCATTGGTCAAAGGAAGAATAGATGTCTTTTTATATACCTAAATTATATTTTATCACAATCATTCCAATTATTTTTTTCACTGAGGTAAAGGTGATGATGAAAATAATAAAGTGAACAATTTAATTAAAACTAATTAATTGGTTGATTGCATTTACAATATAATTTTTTTATTAATTTTCAAAGTTTATATCATCACAAGGATATCTAACTTCAAATGAACCAGTTCCACCTTGCACCACTTTACCAAATACTAATCTTGAAGATGGTGTTTGCAATAAATCATTATCACTATAGAGCGTTGCTTGTGTTAAGAAATTACATGTAGTCTCAAAACTCATTTTTAAGAAAGGTGAAGCATTTGAGTCAATACCAATTCTATTAAATGGTTTATACTTTCCATCAAATGTCTTAAATAACAAATAACAAATTTGGTTAGGATTTGGAATTATTTTTCAGCAAAAATATTTTCATGTAAAAATTATATCTACCATATAATCAGCTACTAAAGACAAATGCCTTATATCTATCTTTATACCATAAAGCCCAAAAACTTCTGAAATTTCTCTTATAATTGCCATTCTTGCTGCTTCAACTCCATAAGTCTTAAGTATTGCAGCAATATCATTAGAATATATATTATTTATATCAATTAATTTATCATATTTCCATAAACTTTGAAAATTTACTCCATTTGTCACTAGTGATTTCTAAGTAAGTTTGTTAATATAACAATTTTTTTGAGAAATGAACTTTTAAATTATCAAGTATTAATCTACTTACTGTTTTATCATTGTCATTATCATTGGTAATCTGCTGACATTTAGTCACTCCTCTAACTTCATGTATCACTGACATTTTACTAGCCATTTCTGCTAACGGTAACAATAGTATCTTTCTAGTACCAGCAGGAAACTATTTAAAAAACAAAGTTTTTTGTTAATTTACTTTTTTCTCGGTGCAAAAATAAAATAAAAATAAAAAATTATGTACCATTAATTCTATTTCACACCAACCACCATCTTTATCATCAAATTCGTAATTAGAAGCGTACAATGAATTTGTGATGATTTTGTTTTTTATAGATGTTTCGTCAATTATTTTCTTTTTAATTTTTTCTTTATTTTCATTAATTTCTAAATCTTGGATCATATAATTATCATTATTATCACCATCATCGCCATAACCGTCGCTGCCGCTAGCATCATTACCATCACCATAACTTAGTTTATTGTTATTCTGATTATCATTTTCTCCATCATCATCCTCCTCATCGTCAATTACTATCAAATCAGTTTTATCAAGCTCATCATCATTTTGTTTAATAACTTCAAGATCATCTTCATCTGGTGCATCATATGAAGCATGTTGTTTGGTTCGCTTATTGATACGTGCAGTTGTTGCATCACCATCACCGTCATCAGATTCTGGTGAAATTGAAAAAAAATCAAAGTTATTTAATAATTGAAAAATTATTTTTTTAGAATTTTAAAATTATTAATAACTAACCATTTCCATTAAAATTGGGACTTGGTACATCTTCATCTTCATTAAATTGTTTATCAGATTCTTTGGCTTTTTTAAGTAGTTTATCAAAATTAGTAGAATCATCTACTTTTTTGCAAGAGGAGAAAAGAAAAGAAAAATTAAATATACCAAACACTCTTGACAATAAAATTGATTGATGGATGAATTAAATGCTGATACCATTTTTGGAAATCTTTTTTAATTCTTTGGTAATAAAAACTTCAAGACGAGGAATATATATCTTTTTAATAACTTCTTTAATCTGCCATTCGTCAACATTAAATTCTTCTTTGTACTCATTTCTTGGGAAAAAATCCATACGAATTCTATAAATTTTATTACGTAATGATCCTGATCCATCACGCTTTCTTGAAATATATTCGGTGACAGTCATCTTATCGATCACTTCTGATAATGTCAATTTACTAAAACTCTGACAAAACTCGGATATTTTTGTATCAGAGACTCCATCAAGTACTGTGAGTTTCATCATTGGTGTTTTAATAGTGCGTGATGCAGTCATAATTATTTCACGAAGTCGCGGTATACCCAGTGTCACATTCATTTCACCAAAACCAGCAAAATGAAATGTGTTCAATGTCATTTGAGTTGATGGTTCACCAATACCTTGTGCTGCAAGTAATCCAACAGCCTCGCCTGGTTCCACCAAACTGTTAAGGTATTTAAAGTGCATCAATTTTCTAAATGCTACTTTGCTTAACAAATCATCACCACTGTTACTATTATTATTATCAAGTATATTATCTGGATTTTCTTTAATATACTCTTCCAATTTGCTACTAAATTTTTCTGAAACAGAACCTAAGTGTTTACTTGGGGAGAATTTGGAAAGTACTGGATCAAACTTATTAGGTTGTTTTGCTGCCATTTTTGCATAATACGATGCAGTAGAAATATCAAGATGTTCAGATGCTTGTAAAATATTAAAATTTTCTATTAAAGATTTATAGTTTTGGGCATTGAATTTGAATTCATAAAGATGTTTTTGTTTGGTAACATCTAATGAATCTTCACCATAATGAAATTGTATTACTGAACCATCACCATCTCGCACTGTGTGATCATAATGAACACATAGACTTTCTAAATGTTTAATCAGACACCGTTGTAGATATCCAGATCGACTTGTCTTCACTGCTGTATCAATTAAACCTTCACGACCAGCCATACAATGAAAAAAATATTCCTTATGATTAAAAAATAATATTTTATTATTTATTTGTTATTTAGCGAAAATCATTAAT